TGTGACCTTGGATGCGCACGTAACGGGAATATGGTGTGGGCAAATAGGGGGGGGGTATGGGTAACTCTAGCCTTCAACTTGTATGCTACATCCCAAAAATTGGGAAGCATAGAGGGTTTTGAAATTTGATTTGCTTATCAACGCTGATTAAAAATTTCAGGGCCAAACAGCTGCTGCATGGATTGATATGAAATACCACTAGAATAGAAGAAATTTTGTTGGGGTTCCAGGCGAAGGCAGCCCTGCTTGACTAAGCCTTAATACTTATGGCAGACTTATGGCATCCAACTATTTGAGAAGCGTAGAGAGACAATCAGATATCAATGGAGTTTGCGTAGATTTCTATTGATGTTACTTGGTTTCCAATCAGATTCAATGGATTCGTTAACTAGATTTCTATAGATTTTATTTGGAATCCAATCAGATTTCAATGGGTCTTAATTAGAGTGCTCTTGACTTTACTTGGATTCCAAGCAGATGTCCTTGGATTTTGATTAGATTTCTATTGATGTTGCTTGGAATCCAATCAGATTTCAATGGATCTTACTTCGATTTGTATTGCTTTTACTTGGAATCCAATCAGATTTCAATGGATGTTAATTCGATTTCTATGTAATTACTTGGAATCCAATCAGATTTCAATGGATGTTAATTCGATTTCTATTGATTTTACTGGATTTGAACTAGATGTTCATGTCCTTCTCCATCTGGTTCTCTTAGAATAATGAGCCCTGGGTTATTATTATAGGGGGAGGAGTGCCCTTATTAATCAGGAGTGTGGATTACTTACAGTGGTTGGCTGATCTCATCATTTCTTACCAGCCCAGTAGCAGCAGAAATGCGCGCAAAAGTACCATGATTGACAATGGCAGGTTTTTCCACTGGAGCGAAAGTGATTCCAAGCCCGTAATCGTTGTATATGCTTGCACGCATTGATCTTTAGATAGCCAGGAAACTCAACAATTTTTGAAGTGGCCATTGACTTTGTAATCTCTCCCAGCTTTTCAGCACGCAGGTACCGGACATGCAGAAGCGAGGCAGGTCATCGTCTCCTGAGCTGGGGGGCCCAGTGCAGCCATGAGCGGCCCTGCTGTGTTTCAGCGTTTTAGACATGAGACAGGCAGGGCAAGACTTGTTCGAGGAACATCGTTGTTGCCAAACTCTCCCCAAAACCTCCAGGCGAGGGATGCAGAGACTAGGCTTATAACTGCTCACAGGCATCCGCAGCCCCAAATCACCAAATCTCACTGAAGAGCATGGATCGGCAAGCTGCTGACACTGTTCCAAGGAGGTGAGCACCTTTCTCTGAAACTTGGGATTGTGTACAGAAGGGGCCCGGACCTCCCAGATGCCCCGGAGGTCTGGAGAGCCGTTGGCTCTCTGCGACGGCAGCGCGTCTCCCAAGCGGAGCCAAGGGCGCCTCGGCATTTGGAGGGGTTCGTGGATTCAGCTTGGAGTCTACCTTGACCTTGGTGGGCCCGATAGCTTAAGGTCGATTCGGCGTGCGGGAAATAGTGCAGAAGGAATCACCTAGGACCCGAGATAAAAGGTTTTGAAGTTTATCGTTTTTCCTTAGCGACGCATACCCCCAAGCTTGAAATTCGGAGCTGAGAAGGGTGATGAGTCACTTAAGGTTGAGAAGGTGTTCATGTCGTGCTTTCTTTTGCAACAAGAGTCTTGGTCATTGCAATGTTTGGTCGGGAAGCCATGGCCATGTAGGACTGCTCTACCACCTACAAGGCGAACATGCGCCGTGTCTTGTCGTAGGATGTTGTGTGCCCCCAATGAAATTGTCTTGGTACTCCCAACCGATCCCAACTGTCGACGTCGCTTCGTTTCATTTTGGAAGGATATATGATCTTGTTGGGGACGTTCCTTTGTGGTGTCTCATGAAAGTGGAGTCTCTGGGCTGATATTTGTACGCATATTCGCGCTGTGCCACTGGGGTTGCCACTGTGCAATTACTCACGTAGGCCAACACTCTTCTCGAAGCACTGTTTGGAAGCCGAAGTGCTCCTAACATGTCCATGGCGTCCATGGGCTGGATTGGCTACTAACGGGGGTGTCGTATGAGCCACCGTGCTGCGGGAAGTGGCTTCCGATGATGGAGCCGACTTCTGGTTGAAGAAATGTGCGCTCAAGTAAGGCTGACCTACATCGAGCAAGGTTGATTAAGGGCAGGTGCCAAGTAGAAAGCAGATGCACTGGGCCTGGCTTTTGTTTGGGGCTAGGTTTCAGCCACAGTCTTGCCTTGAACCCCCAGTTGCCTCTCTTCTAGCCATGCTCCTCCCAGACAGAGCGGCCAGGGGATGTTTTGCAACCCCTCGCCCTTACAGTGCTGCCTTCAGGACCTTCAACTTGACGGGCATCGACGTCGAAAAAATCGAGAGCGAGTGGAGGCACCTTATGGCAAAGTTTCCACGTTAAGGATGTTGTAGTAGGCTTTCAAGCACATTGGTCATGTGTTTCTTTACTGTTGAGGGAGCCTGCAGCGAGTCCTGTGAAGCTGGTAACTAACTGCATGGGGTCCAGGATCCAGGGTCTAGATCTACGACTTTACTGCTGCTGCGAAGGACTTTGCACTGGAAAGTGCTTAGCATTTCGTAGTTGTGTGGGATTCGTCAGCATCAACCAGTGCAGGTTTAGCGACGACGAGGCCAAGAGGAGAGCGATGCAGCTTGCGGAAGGCCTCACCCTGGTTTGAAGGGACATTGGGGTCGACCTGCGCAAGTCTTGGCTACCTGAATACATGGTTCCCAGCATACCCTACGTCAAGATACAGTTTGGGCGTGCAGGGCATGAATTTGACACAGAAGGTCATTCGGGTGCGGCTGGCGTGGATTAACAAATGCAATCAAGGGGTCCAAGCATCTGTGAAAAGAAAGGCCATGGTCATCATTGTGTTGAATCGTGATGATGGTTTAGCTGCAGGGCAGAAACGCCATACAAAACTTCAAGTTGTTTTCGGTAGTTTCAAGCATGTCGAATTTGGACAGCAATCATAGAGCGAAATTAGACCTTACCGTAGCCAGCCACACCCGCTTCTGGAAATGTCCTGCTGGTAGCGTTTTCCCAACTTGAAGCTGAATGCTCGGGGGCACGCAAAGGCAAGTCTAGATTCGCCAACAAAGGAAACACAAGCACGTTGCAATGGCATCCGTAGATCCAGCTTCTTTAGACCATGTTGGACCTCAATCCAAGCTTTCAAGCATGTACAGGTTACTTGGCCAAGACGCCCAACTGGGATCAGTACAACTCCATGAAAGCGACGGCCTTGGAGAAACATATGCGCAGTTTGAGCAACATGCTTCCGACGAATCTCTCAAAGGCGGAGCAATCCATATTTGAGACAAGTGCAGAACAGTTTCATGTGAGGTTGCCGAGCTCTCACTGCAGGTTGGGCGCTTTCCTGCCCTCACGTTCCACCGCGTGACTGAGCCAGCGAAAGATCTGTACGAGCAAGACCTGAAGGCATGGTTCATTTACTTGCTGTGAGTTGTGGTCGCATGGTTATGGGTTTTGAGCGGCCTTTGTCTTCAGAATGTTTTGTCTTCTAGCTTCAGGCTACTCTCGGACCAATGGAGAACCGTTCTGCGGCTCCACATGGCGCTGCATGTTAAGCTCGAGCCGAGTGCGACTTGCGTGCGTTGCTTTCTAAAAACGTGGACACTTGAGTTTGCTTTAAAACCTTGGTCTAGGAAAAACAGGGCTGTGGATATGTGGACGATTGTGGGGGACGGACTTTCTCAAGAATGCCTATCTCCTGAGCTCTACCTCGTAAGTAAGCCGGCAACTCGAGTTTCTGCAAAGAGGCTTCCTCGGCATTCCTCCAAACATGACACCAACATGACGTTCTGGCATGCCTTTTGCTTGGGAGCCCCGTGTTGCTTGAACGGTGTTTGCTGAAGGCCTACCACAAGCAGCGGATTCCTGCATGGGACTTTGCCAAAGCCGCAGGCTGCGGGTGGTTTATAGAGCAAGGGTTGTTCGTCCAAAGGCCCACCGATGAAAGGTACTCTGGAAGGTATCGCTGTTTTATCTGCAGGGCTTAGAAGCAGGGCAAACGCTTTTTTCTGATAGCGGCGAATTCCTCGCTTACGCAAACCCGTGACCTAACTGGTGCCTCGCAGCCTGCAGCAAGTCTCTACCAACGCCTTGTCATGTGCTGGAAAGAATCCAGGCCTATAGGTTTGCTGCGCCCGAGCCATGTAGAATCTGTGACCTATCAAGTGTCGTCGGCCAGGTCGGCCCGGGCAAGAGACAGACGATGTGGCGGCGCCTGGGAAGTACGACGTGAACTACAGTGCAATGCTCAGATTTCCCAGTCATATCGCAGCTCACGGCTATTTGGGTCTCCCAACACACTCCTGCATGCTGCATGCACTGTCAGTCTAATTTGGAAAAGGCCTTGCGAAGGCGGTCTGACCAGCTCCTGATAGATTTATACGACTACTGGTGCTCAGAAGGTTCTCAATGTGACGCAAGAGGCAAAGCATCAGTGCCCAGGTGCCGTCCGCGGGAAGATCCCTTCGGGGGTTCACTTCGAGCGGGCACTGCCCAGGGCGCAGTCCGACGGACGCCTAGGCCCGGTCTGAGTTTGGCTGGAAGACTCGATTTTTGAGGCTGCGCTGGGCTTTCATCCTGAGGTCATTTCGCTCTGCAGGCTGTATTGCACGCAGACGTCCGAAGCTCAAGCCAGGTGGTGGCCGTGAAGGGTCCTGCAGCGTATAGCAGCACAGAAATAGTGTGGGCTTTCGCAAAGTCATGTTCCCTCTTAAAGCTGAGTTTGGAAGTGTGGCAAGATCTCTGAACACTAGGCTAATTGGCAAGGCCAAGCGGTTTCCAGGCGGTGTGCGCTTCGACACTTCCGCATCAAAGGCGGCACCTGTTCCTGTCCAAGAGAGCGATAATTTGCTTCTGCCTGTGTCGGTTCGCCAAGTCAAGAACCGCCGTGGAAGTGTAGTCGCACGGGCTTCATTAGTTGGGGATGCAAATGTGCAAGCCGAACGAAAGAGCAAGAGACGTCCTTTAGGCTTGAAGCTGCGCGTAGTTATGCAGCTATTGAATAGCCCCAGCCTGTGAACAGGACTGCATCAGGAGGAGGATGACCCTGGTGAATCCTGGTTGCATTATGTGGAAGCTGGAAATCCTGAATCAACTCCATAGCAGACGATTACCACGAGGTATCACGGCCATGAGCAAAAGCATGACACTTAACATAGTGCACGAGGGCTCACTTACATTTAGATTGAACAATGGAGGCTGTCAAACTGCTCATGACGAGGTTCAGAGTTTAAGGATGTGTTACGGTTTCCGCATGCTTGACTGCAGCGAGGGACATGTGCTAGACTGACAAGAGCTCTTCAGAGAAAGCATGTCACAGCAACTGCAAGTCTTTGAGCCTTGAGTCAGTTTTGGTTCTTGTTGTTTTAGGGACATTCAATTTGCAAGGTATTGTCCACCCTCTCCCTGGCCCTTGATGTGTAAAAGACGGGACAGAAAGCTTGGCCTCCCCTGCCTCCATGTTTCAATCAAACGCAGCAAGGAACGACTTCGACCGCGAGCTGCCTCGCCCGAATCCTGCGCCACGATCTCTGGAGATCGGCGCCTAGAAATGCCTCAACGTTCTTGCAACATGCGTCTAGTTCAGCAATTGTGAATTTTCATGGTGGCTTGCCTCTCGGAAAGGCATATTGGGCCCTGTTTTGGATGTTGAGTGTTGTTACATTCAGTTCTTCTGAACCTTCTCAATTGTTGCTGGATTGTTGAACTTGCCTTGGCCTCCGTAGCCTTGAAAAGAGCCGGCCAGGGCTTGGTGGATGCTGGGATAGTCCAGCGTAAAGCTACTTTCTGCATTTACTATACGACGTAGTATCATACGAAGATAGTTTTGCATACTGTACCATATGCATGTGTATATATATATATAGATACATATTATTTGTGTATACGTATATTAATGGGTTCGTAATGGTCTGTGTGGGTGCCCAGCTCATTCTTTACCCCAGCAAACGTCAATGATGCTGGGCTTAATCTTGTTACAGACATACTTATCATGCTGTGCTGCAAGTTCCTGGCCATTGGGTGATGAAGGGCCACTTTCAACCATCTGAATCACCGAGGTATCATGACACAAGTGTTCTGGCCTCGGCATATGGTTGGTTGGCACGCAGCAGAACTTGCAGATCTATGCCCTGAATTGCCTGAATTGTATAGTAGTGCAAGGCTCCACCAGGTGTCAGCCACAAGCCTTCATCTACTGCTGGTAGCGAAAGGTTTTCGGTGCCTTGACGGTGCTGAACCTCAAGCAAAGAGACACAGATCCTTAACCCGTACAAGTGCACTGGCAAAGAATAGCCAAAGTCAGAATTCACAAGGATCCAGCTGCCTGCGAGATCACGCTGAGCCGAGGGCTCAGAAGGTTGTTACTATGTGGATTCTTGCTTTTGCTTTGCACTCTCTGTTCAAATGTGGCTTGTCAAGCCAGCCGCAAGGACCTTGGCTTGTGTTGTTGATGGCATTTCGGCTTGATTTCTTCTACACAAACCGGAAGCTCAAGGTCGGATGATGAGCTACAACGCGGATCTTGCAGACATGTGTGTGGCCTGGCAGCATACAAAAACCTGCAACCCATCTCACGCAGCATGCCAGGTGAGTTTTCTCCAGTATTCGCGTGAACTGCCAATGGGATACCTCCCAGCCTCCCAGAAAATGCAGAACACATTTTTCGATAGCCACGCGCTGTGCTGGAGGACATTTAGCAGTGGGCAGCTGGTAACCTGTTGACTTGGGCCTATCCAGCTCGGTAGGTTGAAGCAACTGTGCGCAAGCGCAAGCATGGTTCCGGAGCCGAGGTGTTCCTCAAGTTGTGTTCCTTGTGTGACGGGCGGATCCGAGCAGAAATGTAGCTGCAAAAAATGCCAAAAACGCTCAGATGCGGATCCTTGAGCCAAAATGCAGAAAACCAACTGGATAGCCCAAGCCTTAAAACGCAAATCCTCGTGGACTGCCCGCAAACATGGAGGTTTTTGTTGCGCAGGTGACGAACAGAAGGGACATGGCGTCTGCCTGGCAGCTTTGTATCTCTTCACTCTAGTGCGCAGGCGCCACTTCACAGTTAAGCTGAACCAGAAGGCCCACACGGCTTCGTTTACTAGAGTCTTCTGTCCCTCCAAAGTATTTAGACTTATCGTTTACAAAAATCACCGCTCTCCATCTCAGGGCGTGCATAGAATTAGTTTCCAGGCATGGAGTTAACGATTGATTCGTGCGAAGCGCTTGAAAGCTTGCGAAACAGCATATACAGAGTCTGCAGAGATTCTGTGACGAATGATCTCTTTCGTGGCTGCCTGCTTGTTTGTTTTCGGCTTTCCGGGCTTGTGGTTTCGGCAAGCGTGTTGGTTGGGGGGTTGGAGGCTTGCGAGCAAGGCCATGGTACCACGCAGCCCTTCCCTCTAATTAAACACCAAGCAATCCGGATCCAAAGCCCTGAAGTCTGAGCCCCTTGAAATTCTTATTGAAGTCTTCATTAGCCAGGCCCGTGTACGAGCGCATGCTGCCGCGTGGGAAAGAGTCGGTTCCGGATCCCAGCACGGAGAATTCACCAGAGTCATGATGCCGGGGCCAGGTAAATAGAATTGTAGTCATGATTTAAGACGTTTGCTTTGGGGACCCAATCTTGACACGTAGCCGGAGTAACACCTCACAAGCTCTGAACAAATTCGTGTGTTCTGGAGATCGTGTCATCTGAGCATGCTTTTGGCCTTTGTGTAACTGAACTACCTAGCATCAGCAAATTTGCCAGTCATGTGATCTTACGTGTGTGTTTTCTGTTGTCATCCCTTTAGATTCCTAGAAGACTTCTCAGAATCCCGTACAGAAACGCTAAGTTTGGTTGGAGATCGAGAAAACTATTGGAAACCTTGCTTTGCTTCCTGAAATGCAAGTTCTCGGAGCAAGTTTGGGGTCCATACCGGGACCCAATTTTTATCAAGCTCCGAACTGTTTTGTCTGCAGGTGCAGGGCTTGCGGGCTTTGCAGACGGACCTGGGCTCGCACCCCTGGAGCTATGATCATGTTAATCCGTTTGGCATGTTCATTACTCGAAGGCTTCCGTCAGCAGTGAATAGGAGTTTGGACTCAAGAGATACTCGCCGGGTCCCAGTGGCAGCCCTTCAAATTGAGGAGGGCCTTGAGCAGTTTTGGCTTTGGTTGGCTATGAAAGGCCTAGCAAGGGGGATTCAGGCTAAGAGGATGCAAAGTACCGGCGGTACGTTTTGGAAGACATTCCTTGGCTTGGAAGCTCCGCAGCTGAATGGCGAGTAATGACAACTCAGCACAACCGCAGAAAACACGTGGACGCTGCTTCCAAGCTGGGATCGATCCATCAAGGAATGAACTGCTTCATGTCTAGTCCTTGCACCCTGGGCCGACTCCCTCGTTTCCACACTTCTGAGGTGTTCGAGGAGCTGCAGGTCTCGGCTTCATCGAGACCACGGGACAAAGAACCCTTCCTGTGGAAAAGTCTGCCTGGCGCGCTGTTTTATCTTGGCATGCATCGGAACGCCAAGGACAGCAGCAGGGGCCGCAGTTGGATGTTCTTCTTGTCTTCTTAGTGTATGGGACGGGTTTATCATAAGAAGGCCAGATTCTTCGATATCTTGGGTTTTCTTCTTTCTGTGGTGTGTTCTTTCTTCGTGTTTTTCTTTCGGCCATGTTTTGTTATTTCGTTCTTGCATTTGTCCCGGCTTTGCTGCAGGGGCGGCATCCTATGGATGCATGACAAAAAGTAAGCCGGCTATCTAGCATTGGTGCTGCAAGTGTGATGTCATTAGAGAAAATTCAGCTTTTAGCTTGTTTTACAAGTATGGACGTGAGTCAACCTTACCATGGGCCCTTTCTGACCTTCCTTGGAACCACGCCTTCCACTTCCGAATGGCCACAGAATTTGAATCAGTAGTCAGGCACACAAATTTGTGCTTTTGAATTGCGGTGTAATTGCGCCGATCGATGAAGATAGCTTGACCAGATAGACTCTAGAGTTTATGTCCACAAACCGTAGACTCGCCGTAGGCTCCAAGAGGCATAGCAAACTCAAATGAGTCTTTGGCGTGGCAGGCTGGAGGGCCGGACTTCTGTTTGAAGCTCAGGTACAGCTATCCTTAGTTCTTGGTGTAGGCAGGGCACGCAGGGAGCTAGGCACCCTCAGCAACGCAGAGTGTCCCACGCTAAACTCAAAATGTGATGTTGTTGCTGAGAACGCTGCTTACCAACGGCCAGACATTGGGCCAAAGTGACCCGGCTGCAACTGCTGAACGCTTTCTAGGGCTTGAAGGTTCGAAATGCATGTAAGATCATGTAAGAGGGATCAGCCAACGCATACCACAAGGGCCTGTTCAATCACACCATGCCCGACTTTCAAAAGCAACATTCCGGCCCAAAACTTGCACATTGCTATCCTGCAGCTAGACCGTAACTTCCATGATGCCCATCAGGATGCCCTGTATTACCTGTACAACTTTGTGCCAGTTGGTGGATATGTAATCTTGGATGATCTGCTTGTTCTCCCGAATGTCACCGGTAGGCTCGGGCTGGGGTGGGTGGGCTAATGGCCAGCGCGTGCCACTAACCCTAGACCAAGCGCATACCCATGCCTTTTTGTAGCTGATGCTTGTCAGTTGGATGTGTTCTTTGGCAAGCCTTCTGCCTTGCTTTGCACCGTTGTGCTGTGCGTTGCTGTGTTCTTCTTTCTTCTTTGTTGCTGCGGCTGTGATGCTGCCCGTCGCGGTGCGAGAGCTGGCAACCGCCTTTGTGGAGTTGGAGAGGCCACGTAAGCAGGTACGTTCCACAGTTGGTTTGCGTAAGTCCTCAGAGACGTTGCGGCCTGCGCCTCATTAAGTTTCGTCTTTGAAGCCAACTTCTGTAACTTCATCGGCTGTTGTGGCATGTGCCCAGCCTGCCTGGCTCAGATGGTGCTCTTGCGTTGAGTGTGCCATCTTCTAAGGTGCAGCGGAAAGTGCCTGTGTCTTCTTTACCTTCCCTGCCGATTGCGAGCTGTAGCTTAAAATCCAAGGAAGACTTGGAGCGCGAGCGGGTGGCAGTCTTGTGGATTGGCTTTGCGAATGCCGTACATGAGGAAAGTCAGTTGTTGGCTGCGACAAGTGGCTGGGAGGTGCAGAGACTCAAGCCCCTGTTCTTGGATCGCGCGCCATCTACGCTGAAGAAGCACCTCTGCGGCTGGAAGCTTTGGGTTTCGCTTTGCGCTCCTTTGCGCTGGTGCCCAGGCTGTCCCTCTCTACCACAGCTCCTAGATTTTCTGGATGCACTCTCTGAGGGTTGTTTTGGAGACAGAGGCAGGCAACGCAAGCGATCAGCGTTGAGTGTGTTAAGTGCTATGGGTGTTGCTGCGCTCAAGTTTCAGTTGAGGCAGCTTTGCGACACTTTGCAGAAGCCCTTGGTCCTGGCCAGCAAGTGGCGGCAGTCCCGCGTGAAAAAGGCGTAACCGTTGCCCCTCATTGTTGTGCAACGTTTGGAGGAGGCCGTTGTCAGCGACCCATGTGAGGATGGGCTCATGCTTTGTATTTTTTTGCAATGATTTGGGGCAGGCTACGGTGGTCTGACATCCAGCGTATGTCGCTGGATTCTGTGATTTTGGACAAGGGCGTGCTAAAGGGCTGGTGCTGGCGCACCAAGTCAAGTGTCCGTGGGATGCCGTGGGCATTCTTGACTTGCGGTCTTTGTAACCAGCAGTGGGCAACGACTCTTTACACGGATATATCTGCCGTCTGCGTCAAGCCTGTCCGGACCGCGATTTCCTGCTCGACTATCGGGGTGTGCCTTTGGGATATTGTGGTATGCTGAGCCATTTCCGGCATTGCCTAGTCGCGTATGCGGGCCTGGAGAAGCATGCTGCCGCTTGCTTCTCATTGCATTCTTTGAAGAGTACCATGTTGTCCTGGAGCTCGCAGTTAGGTATTGATGAAGTGACTAGATCAGCGCAGGTGCATCACCGGTCGGTGTTTCCACCTGCGTCAAATGCTATGCCAGGGACGATGTCACCCCTCAGCTTCGGTGCCAGAGACCGGTGCTGGCGGAGTTGCAGGGAGGCTGGCGACCGCACGTGCCTTTACATCGAGGCATGGAGCACGTTGACGAGGCCCTCTTCAATGCGAAGGTCGTTATAGCTGCGTTGGAAGATGGTGATTGCAAAGTCTGCAGGTGAAGATTTGGAACGTGTCGGCTCCTCTTCCGAGACCTCCAGTGACGCGGGGCAATCTTCCATAGGCGATCCAGCAGAGCTGGCAGAGCTGGAAACCTTTGCAGGGCCGTGGACGCTCAATACAGTTTCGGGTTGTGCGCACAGGGCCAGTTGGTCTGAGGAGCGGAGGTGCTGGACTTTGGCGCGCAGACCTGGTGCGAGTTTGAGTAGTAGCTGATATGAGAGCTGGAACAGCAACCCAGCAGGCTTTTGTGGCTTTACAGTGTGCTGCCATTCGGGCTGCTTTGCTTCGGGCCCGAGTGCCTAAATTGTAGCGCCGCCCTGATGGGCCGTGATTTGTCGCTTCTTGAAGAATGTCAGTTCCTTGAATGGATCTGTGGTTTGGTACCCCCTGATGGTGGTTTTGGTGTGGGCATTTGGCGCATGATTGCGCAAGTGTCCTCTGGGTGTCCAAACTTGTTGTGTCAGGTGTTCTGCTTTTGAGTTGTTCTCTTTTGTTGCTTGCTGCTGTGGAAGTATGCCGGAGCAGTCATGGGGAGGTTTTCTGACCGAGTGTGGGCTCGTGGAAGCGTGTGCCAATTCTTTGATATCCTCAAGGTATGACAGCAAAGCTACCTGTGGCCAAGCCTTCTTGGATGCGGCAGCTTTGGAGCGTTTCCTCAAACCTTTCTTGACGATCAAGAAATGTGCAGGGGAGGTCGATGGCGACACGTGGGACATTCATCCCGTGGCCGGGAAGCTTCGCAGCGTTTGGCATGCATGTCGGCCACTTAAGCTCCACCTGCGCCTGGGCCTCCTTCACAAGCATTGGCGCTGCCTGGCCCACAAAAGATTCAAGCCTCCGAGCGATGCCGCGCAAAGAACTGGAGTCCAAGTACTCCTCGACAGTCATCACACCAGCAACTATGCCGGCCCTGAGCTGTGCACCAGCAGGTGCAGTCAAACAACTGGGAATGGCTGGATATGAAAGGGCGGCGGGCCCAGTCTTCGGCCCAGGCACTGCAAGTGGTACATATGCTGGAGTGCGCTGCAGGTGTTTTTCACGAGGAGTGGGACTTGGAGCTTGCGCCATCGGCCACGCGCGCGCAGAACCTCCTTGTCATGAGTGGCGCTGGTCATCTGGGCCACTGCAATGCGTATGTGAAGCGTTCATAGGCTTCTATACTGCCGGAGAGCCTCGGAAGGCAGAGGCTGCCGACCGAGCAGCAATGGACGAGGTTTTTAGTCTCGGCAGACCGCCCTAAATCACGTCACTGTGGACCGGGAACACGCTACGGCACTTGCTGGTGGAGAAGCCCAAGGTCAATGCCCGACCGCTGTTGAAGCGCCCCACACCTCCTGGCATTCCCAAGCTGATTCCGGGCAAGGAGAAGCGCCCGCGCAATGGCGAGTGCTGGGGCTGGCGCGAGGGCCCCTGCAGCAACCCCTTTGCAAGTTCAAGCCTGAGTGCGCAAAGTGCGGTTCCAAGAGCCACGAGTGTGACCAGGCAAAGCGCGTGAAGCATCGGAGGCGGTGGTTTGTGCTGTGCCAGCTGACCTAGAAGGACCCTTTGTGATGGATGCGCGTTTAGCTGCAGACAGTGAGTGTTCCTGGCGTGACACATGCTCTTCCAGTTTGCAGAGATCGGGAGCCAGCTTTGCGTTGGAGGCTGCGGGATGCGCATTGACTCTGATGCAGACTGGGCATCCCCGCACGTGGACACTGATCGACTTGGTGGGTTACGTGTAGAATGGCTGCGTTTGATTCATGATTGGCATCTAGTTCCACGACTTCTTCGGGCTGTTGCTGAGCGTTCAAAAGTTGCCTGGCTTAGTCACGAGGAAATCCTTGCCCTACGGGGAGTTTTGGTTTCTTTTCTGAAGCGTCATTGCTCGGCAGCGCTCGAACCGGGCCAACTCTTGGCTCTGGAGCTTTGGGATGCGTGATGATGTGGATCAGGAGTTGCCGTCTCTGCTGCGTAAGGGGGTCCCGACTGGGATTCTCAACACCATCAAGCCTTCGAGCGTTTGGCGTGAGATGGATGTGCCTCACCGCCCTAACTTGGCATTGCAGCTGTTCGATACCCCGCGGGGGTCTGCAGTGGAAAACTGTAGCGCAGCCTGCGAGCTAGTGGAGGAGGATGTGCAAGCTGGTTTCGCGTCCTGGCTGGATGGTGGTCTCGAGGAGGCCCAGGCGCGCTTTGGAACAAACTGCGCTGCTGGGCGACTTGGAGTTGTCAAGAAGGAGGGCTCTGCACCTCGACTCATCAGAGACAGCTCCGTGTCGAACGCTGACCATCTCTGCTCAGGAGGACAGGCGAACGCTGGAGCGCTTTTCTCATGGACATCAGCAAGGCGCACAAGCGTGTGAAAGTTGCGCCCAAGGAGAGCGGTTTTTCCTTGCTTGCGGTTCTGGATGGCAGCGGCAGACGCAGATGGGTAGTGTATAACACTTGCCACTTTGGTTGTGGCTGGGCTGCTTACTGAGCAGGGTGGCGGCTGGTTTCCTACGCTTGGGGCATCGTGTGATCTGGCATGGCCAATTGCTCGTGATTTACGTGGATGATTCGTTATCCCTCTTCCCGGCCAGCTCCGCGCCGCTCCTGGCTTGCTTGCAGGTGGCGCTTGCTTGCGCTCTATAGGGCTTCCTTTATCCTGGCACGAAATGCGCTTGGGGTCTGAAGTAATTAAAATGGATTGGTTGGTGCCTGCAGCTGCAAGCGGCTCCGATTGCGACTCTGCCCGAAGACAAGGCCAGCAGGCTTTGTGCAGTACTGCGTGCCGTGCAGGCTGGCGACAAGCTGCGCCGTCGCAAGGATCTGGAATCCTTTGCAGGCCTTCTGCTTTGGTTTACTTGTGGAGCTAGGTGGTTGAAAGCCTGGCTCAGCGTGTTCTTTCGCGTGCTGCACAAGCCATCGCTACGCTTGCTTCAACTTGATCACAGGCAGGTTGCCGAGTTGCAGGAATTGCTGGATGATGCACTGATTGTGCGTCGACCTGCTAAGCTGTCGGATATCCTGAAGGGTTGGAAACTCTTGGAGTGCAGTGGCAGCCTGCCTGCCCAGTTGTTTGGCCAGATACGTTGCGCTGGAAGCAAGGCCAGGCGTGGGTCAAGTTCGGTGATTGGGCTGGTGCAGCAGTGAAGCCGTGCGCAGAGGAACAGCGTGTTGCGGGTTCCTTTCTCCAGCTCATTGAAGCAAGGGTGCCTGTGCAATTGGTTGAGTGCGAGCAGATAGGCGCTCTGGTGGTTGCAGATGCGTATGCAGACGAGTCGCATGCTGGCCTGGGCGGCTGGTGGCTGCCTAGTGGCTGCCAGCTAGATGTTGCGCAGATCAGGTGGCTCTCTTTCCGTGTGCAGCGCTCAGATCTCCCAAGTTGGTTCACTTGTGGCGAGAAGGGGGCGCAGAAGCCAAGCTTACGGGCGCTAATCTGCGCGCCGGAGGTGCTTGCGCAGCTGATCTTGGCTGCAGCGACAGGCTGGGCGTGTGGCAAATGCAGGCCGTGTTGTTGTTCGGCAGTTTTGTGACAAGCTGGTCGAGGCTACCCTCTAAATTTTTTTCTATGAAGGAGCCCGTGGTCGCTGTACTACGGGCTGCAGCTGTCTATTGCATGCGAGAAAAGATCAACCTTCGGGTATCCCATGTTGCGGGAACCCGACACGAGTGGGCTGATAAGCTGTCGCGGGGACCTGCCGCGTACCCAGCCTTCTGGCGACGACTGGCAAAGGTTTTGCGCAGATCCGCGGATTGGCAGGATTTGCTCAGTTTGGGTGGGTCAGAGAACCTGTGTCCGGCCACCAAGCATCGGCCATAGGCGCAGTATGTTGGATAGGCACTTTGACTTGGGTCAGGCACGCCACCTTTTACAGTGGCCGTCGTCTGCGCTGAAGTTTGGTGTGTGTTTGTGCATCCGACGGTGTTTGGCTGCGGCGTTGCTTTGTGAGATTCCTGGCACTTGTGACTTTGTAAATGTGCATCCAAACACCGTTTCTCTAGTACGAGGATTAGTACAGGGTTGCGTGTCTCTCAGGGTTGGTAGGCACGGGCTGGGGTAGGTGGGCGAATGGCCAGCGCGTGCCACTAACCCTAGACCAAGCGCATACCCATGCCTTTTGTAGCTGATGCTTGTCAGTTGGGCGTGTTTTTGGCAAGCCTTCTGCCTTGCTTTGCACCCGCCCTCCCGCCCTGTGGATTGCAGCTGGCGCTGATTCGGCTTGGCCAAGTGCCTTTAGCAGCTGCTGCAGGCAGCTTTTTGGACGGTGTGCCCAAGCGCGCTTCATTGCAGGGAGATTCCTGGCACTTGTGACTTTGTAAGTGTGCATCCAAACACCGTTTCTCTAGTACAGGGTTAGTACAAGGTTGCGCGCCTCTCAGGGTTGGCAGGAATTCCGCCGGGACCAGAACATCACTCAACCGATATTCCGACTCGACCGGCACAGTGGTTATTTTCGGAAGGAAAGACTGCTGTCTGTGGACTTCTCAAAGATGAGAGCTTCAAGTGACGTCCCCTGGAAGAAAGACTAAAAGATGTCGTGCAAAGAGCGCCTGCCGTCAGAAATTTGATATTTGGTAATCCTTCCGAAAATTCGTTACATGAAACCAACGGTGCACAAGAAGCATGTATACTTTACGCAACATCATTTCGTGCCAATGGTGTCGACTCTGGACATCCAATAAGCTCAGGCCCGAGCAGAATAAGAGTTGAAGCGCAGTCTGAAGACTAGCACCAGGACCACGTTACTGTGGATATGCACCTCGATTTGATCTTCGCATAGGACCACAGTCAAGCCAAACCGTTGCATCGACCTGTTTGCTTGATAGGCAGCTAGACGTCCAAAACCAACGTAGCGAAAGCACAAGTTCAGGTTCGATCACCACACGTACTTTGAAGCTCTCTGCGTGGCGGCCTTATCCCAGGTGTATCAGAGGTTGCAGCTCCTTCCAGATGTCGCATGTTCTACCTTCAAGCTTACTCCACAACCAGAGCACCTCAATTCCTTGTTGACGCTAAGCTGGAGACCAACCACAACCAGGGCAACATCGTCATTGGGTCTGGGCCATCTTTTGCCAGACCCCTGGTTACTCCTGGATACAGGCTACCTTTCATTCGGACTTTTGACTGACCGCTGCCGAATAGCTTTGTTACATGCTTGTTGATTCGGTGTTCGCTTGCTGCGGGCTTGCCTGTCAGTTTTGCCTCGTCCTTGCTGGCCACTTTCTTTGCCTGCTTCGGATAACTCTCACATGGATTATCCTGCATGCTAGCTGTGTCCTTCATGCATGGCTTAACAAGATATGTATTTGTGAGGGTTGACGAGTATGATTCATTCGGATTTCAGGCTGAGTCTGTCAAATGTTCTGACCTTCAAGTCGCACATGAATTCGGGGAGGATTTTTCATCATGGTCATCTACGGAACAACATTGACGCCAGTTCCAGAGCACTCTGAGGACACAAGGCCAGCACCGCGTTGCCCACGGCGAGTTCGTGGCGAGATGCACTTCCGCCGCCAGGACGAGATCCGGCTCTCATAACATGAGGCAGAGTAATGATAATGAAGAGTTTTGGATTATGAGGAGGGGTTACTGGGAAGGTTATCTAAAGAAAAATGGACTTGACCTGGGGACCTGGGGATATCTAAAAACTGTCCCCCCCTTCCTACAATGTTCAGGGAGTTCAGGGAAGATCATTTTCGACCAACAGCTACAAACCGAACACCAGCTCATCTCACGAGAGACAGTCGTCTCATTTGTCAATCCCCGAATCAATTGGAATCAAGCTCGATGGGTCCTTCTTTCCCTGCTCTGCTGCATTGGATAGCCCTTGGTTCGCAGGGCCGGTTTGTGCTTGAGACCTTCTTTTGAAGTACTATCGCAAGCAGCCCATGAGACTGCGAGCAGGCACTTTCCACAACATTAGTGCCCTGTTCGGGTGTCCGCGCTGCGTGGCTGACTGACATGCTACATGTTGGAGGGTAGTGACTATTAGCTGATACGATGCGATCCGCCAGCAGTAATCATGAAGCAGGCAGATTATCTTTGTCTCTCCGGCAATGCAAGACGCCACGTACTGATGCCTCAAGAATTGGGCCGCAAATGACAGATTCTCTCTAAAAGTAAACTCCTCTTGCAGTGGTTTAACCCTGGTCAGGCCGCGCAGGGCTTCTCCAAGGGTGTGAAGGCCGAAATGTGAGACCTAGTTCCAGACAATGTCAGACAGATGTTGCCAGCAAGATTGGGGCGCAGGTTGTGGATCAGCTGTGCAAGTATCCACAGCATGAAGAAAACATGTTGCGGTGAATGTTGTTGAGCATCGACGAGCACATACAGATCGGACTTACGTACTGTTTGAGAAATCTGTCTGAGAAGTTCCTGGACATGCATCATGGCCCGAAAGAAATTCAGGCAAGTCCGGGGCTGGGGCTTGCACTTTGCTGTGAGAAGCCTGGGCTCTCAAGGGTCTTCGGCTGGATCAAATCGACAAGGCAGCACAACCTCCTCGGTAACTGAATAACTGTAAGCTCTGCATTGGGAAAGACGACGCGAGCCCTGCCCAATGCTTGCATACGAAAGCCGATCAATGCCTACCAAATAAATGGTTCAACTCACTTGCCACTTGCTGTTCCTGCAGGCAGCAGGACCATCCGATGCCAAGGCCAAGATCTGGCTTCATCAGGGATGAAGATCTGGGGAGGGAGCGTTAGGGCCGTTAGGGTAGCCTGCGTGTTTTCTTGTAGCCAGCTTCGTAGCATGTTTCAAACTGTTCCGCTTGGCGGGTTTTCGCTTGCCAAGCTGGTCGAAATCATCTCGGCAACCCATTTCTCAGTTTGGGTTGCTGCTCTAATGTCATGACTGACGGCTGTCCCCCGCCGCCGCCGCTGCCGCCTGAACTGCAGAATGCTGAAGTACAGTCGGGTCTATGCCCACAAATCAAACTGCCTTGCGCTTGGGAGCCAACCGCACATCCGTGAAAGCCCCAAAAACAGCCAAGCTGAAGTTTGCTGGAGGTGCCACGTCAAAGCCGGGCATACAAGGCCTCGGGCTTGTGGTGCAGGCTTAAGGTCTGCAGTTTGACTTATGTGTGTGTTATATGTTGGTACCACAGCACCAAAACCAATGATATGTAAAGAGAAGCACTCCAGACCTTGCTGCTGATGAGGCTCAGGTTCAAGGATTTCTTCCTGGTGGCTTGTCAGGTTGGCACAGATATCTGCTCCGAGTGTGCAAGCAACATCAGGGCACTTTGAATGCCAACATGGTATGCAGTACAACTAGCATGTATGTGGTCCCAGCAACCGTTCATGTGTAATGTCGGGTCCTGATTAATGTGCAGGCCCCCCCGCCCCCAAACAAAAATGGGTCCCTATTTAATCGAGAGGGGGGGGGGGACCCCCCAAACAATCCATGATTTTTCGGTTTTGATTGAAATTCAATAGGATGGATCGAGCCGATCCTAGGTTTAAATGAAAAATTCAATAGGATGGATCAGGATCGGCTCGGATCCTAGGTACAAATTCAATTCAATAGGATGGATCAGGATCGGCTCGGATCCTAGTTTTAAATTGAATTCAATAGGATGGATCAGGATCGGCTTCGGTAATAGATCAGAAGGGCTTCGAAATGCATTCAGAGAGGTTTGAGAAGTTCAGAGGATCTCAGTTCTCAGAAACCTTTCAGAGGGCTTTGAGGAGAATTCTAGAAAGGATCCGGAGATTTTAGATCTTGAAAGTCTGGCTTTTGAATCCTGAGCCTTCAAGCTTCAAAGGTTTTAGGTTGCTGCTATTTTAGGCAGTCCCGGATTTGACGGAGAATTGAGGACCCCCAAAACATTCGTATTATTGAGGACTTGGGCAAGTGCTGGATACCCCTTAGGAAAAATGATTGGTACGCCTCCTTGGATAAGCGGACTCATAAGAAATCTATAGTCTTGGACCTGGTCTGGAACCTCAGAATCTAAGGTTTCAAAAACGGAAACTTGAGCTCCTGGAAGCTTGGCTTTCAAATGCTAAGCCTTTGAAGTAAAAAGGTTCTAGGCTTCTGCTATTTTAGGCGGTCGCGGATTTGACGGATAATTGAGGATCCCAAAACATTCGTATTATTGAGGATTTGGCCAGCTCCTGGACTACCCCTTAGGACAAGTGATTGGTAGGCCTCCTCGAATAAGCGGACTCATAAGAAATCTATAGTTTTTGACCTGGCTTGGAACCTTAAAATCCGGAGTTTTGAGGTCCTCAAAATCTGGGGGTTTGAGGTTCTGGAAGCTCTGGAGAAGGGGTTCTAGTCTAATCAACAAAGGGCAGCTTGGATCAGGACCCTAAACTAAATACTTACTGCCTGCCATGGTGTTCAAAGCAAATTAGGTTATTTGTTCTATTTATGATTCTCAGATTTTTGTTGGCCGCGCAATTTCGCACAATTAAGGAACCCCAAACGAACCTAGGGGGTGTTGAATAATTTCGGCGAAGCTTCGCACAATTGGGGAACCCCACACTAATCGGGCAGCCAGAAACAGTCAGTGCTGAACTCAAATATGAATGAGCCAGGCGATCGATGACTGGTCGCAGCTGCTTGAGGAGCTCAACTCGAAGAGTGCAGAGCCCGAACTGCTCCACTGAGAGTCTTCGGCTGCAATTAGCAGCCAGAATTCAGGCTCTAGATGGGTGGGAGGCCTAACGTGTTGAAAATACATTTGATATCTTTGCCAAGGTTGAGGGTTATCCAGGTATGCAGAACGCGTGCTCAGAGCAGCAGATCTCTAGCAGCATTCGGCATGGTGAATCTGCATTCGACATGGTGAGCCTTTGTGCTTATTCCTCCACATTTGGATTGATGAAGATACATTGGTGCTTTCTAAAAACGCACCTTGCAACCATGCAATTATTCAAGCCAAGCGGTCCCAGTTTTACTGTGATACTCGTAGCTGCCTCGGCGGACTTGAGTGTTTCCTCTTGGCTTTTGCTGTAATTGCGGTTCCTAAGAACCAACACAGTCTCGTCAAGGACTGACGTCGCTTTGTTTGGTTCTGGCCCTGCACAGGTTGCCTTACAGACCGTTGTCCTCAAAAGACCCTAACCAGTCGTTTCCTAGAAGACTTTCCTCTTCAACAAGTATCATTGGCCGAGACTTCGGAAGTTTTGTGTTGACATGGCTCGGTCACGAACAATTCATCCACTACACGTTTACGCGTTAGTCCATCTGCAGTCGTTGACGTCATGTTAACTGGATGTTATGTCCAGCTATAATGACTAGCGTGACTAGAGCTCTGCGAGCAGTATGCAACAGCACAACTGTCGGGTATGCTGAAAGTTGTCTGACATGACTTCCGTTTGCTGCGCAGGCATAGTCACAGTTCCCATATTTCATATTGCTGCATCTAGACATCTAGACAATTAATTGTTTGTCTCTCTGTCATCAAAGACTGAACGTCCGCAAGCCTTGCCAGACCTTCAGGCGTAATGTGGTGTCAGGGGCCTCTCGGGGTGGTTATTGCTGCAGCTATTAGATGCCATAGGAAGGAGAGGGACTTGGCATCCTGCGTTGCAGCCAAGGACTGCGCACTCGCGCCCGAATTTGTGCCTGGAGCAGTGCATGGACGCGCAGTGTCGCAAAATCTGCTTTGCGAAAAGCTTGGAGACAGGAGAAGGATAGTCCTTGAATACGATTCATGTGAGATAGCATCTGGAAAATGGAGCAGGCTACCTGGCTGGCCTCTGGCTGGAACTGACTGGATACAGCTCATGTTAGGCGCAAAGAACGCCTACAGGTCAGCATGTCATCACGGTATGACTAGCAAGAAGGTATTGCCCCTAAAGCAAGCACAGGTACGGTCATGGGTTTGAGTTTGTGCTTGGTAGCTACTTTCTGGAGGGCATCACTTGAAGAGAGCATCCCACGCAAGTCAGGTTGTAAGCAGGTGCTACACCGTCCAATGCCGGCATGCAGAGCGGACCGCATGGCGTCATACGGGCGCCGGGTAGATGTTTGCCTTCGACGAGCTGGACGAGCAGGCGGCTTGCGGCCGCTCAGAACATTGAAGTACTACTTCGTGTGCTGCGTATTAGACCAAGGCTTGACAAGGCCCTGCATCCACAAAAGGCATTCTAAAGCCTCATGCAATCTCCAACTACACGCAACAATGTGTAGAGCGGTCCTAGAAGCCACGATCTTTTTTTCAAGATTGAGAAGCATTCTGCATGGCATTTCTAAGCACTCTGCAGAGCCGAAGCTTCAACGACAACCCTCCACATGTGTAAGAAGCAGCGAAATGGCTAGAATTGAAAGTTCTCGGCAGCCTCACAAGGCCTCGGATGTTGGAAAAGAACCGCTAGTTGATGCAGTTGTCCAAATCGACAAGCTCCAACCCAATCCAGTGCAACATTGGTTCTTGCAAGGGCAAGCAAGAGCGTACCACAGCCAAGTATAAGCACGTATACAGACATGCAGCGGCCTACGAGTTTAATAGTTCAAAAATATTCCACGTGGCGGCCTAGCTAGTGGCCACAATTTCTCTGACCTTCATGGATCACATGCAATTGTGTGGGTGCCATGTTCGTCTATGAGGACATGCACCTTCCACACTGACACACATGGATCCCCACGTCCAGAGCCCCAGAGGAAGCAAAAGCTTTGGAGCACGAGGCAGAGGCCCTCGAGGCAGTCAGACTGCGGTCAAGACTTAAGCAGCTTGAGCTTGGGGCTTTTGAGATTAGGGCTCCACACACGTGAATTCCTTCTTTGTTGATGAATTCTTCTTGCGCGTGCAGCATGATGATTCTCAGCAATAGAACTTCGTTTACCCAGCAAGCGGCAACCCTGACTTTTTTGGTTGGCGGCTTCTTGTTTTGACAGACGGGCACGCTAACAGCATATCTGAAAATGCTAGCTGTTTTCAGTAGGCCCGGTCAAATTATGAAAGCAGCTCGTCTCGCAAGGTCCCTCCATCGTAACCCTATTTCAAACAGGGGGTTACGACTAGGCCGGCCCATACACTGTATGATTGCCGCTTCATCAAGATAGTTTGCTTATTGAGCTAACCACAAAACACTGCAATATGTTACAAGTAGCAGGAGGCGCTCATTCCAACAATCTGGAGAGGAGGATCATACCTTGATAGCCTCTAGGTAGAGAAAAAAGCGTGGACCTCCGCCACTGAGGCGCCCATACCCACTGACCTATGTCTGTTACGCAACATTCACGAAACAGACAAGCAATGTATGTATGATACTTCTGGAGTCTTGAGGATAGTCGCAGAAGCAACCGCTAGTCATGAGAGAACACGCAGCGAAGGATGTGCTAGCGTCCGTGCCAGGTACATGCTAGTGAGCTGCTAGTGCGCGGGAGTTGCATGCAGCAATGAAGATGACCACTTGCTGGACGAAGGCTGCAGGAGCTATCGATTTTGCAGCCCTGGATGCAGCAGAACTAGAGCGCCGGGAAGAAGGAGGCTGGGTCTGGATGGTATGTGAGTGGAAATGGGGGGCTTTTTTGGACAGGGGTACCTTTCGACATGCAAGGGATACGGAGGAATTGAGAGCATGCCATCAGGATCCTGTTGAGGTTTATGGGACTCGTGATGAAACACAGCAATTGAGGAAGGCAGTCTTCTCAGTTAGAAACTAGAATGTAGAGTCATGATCTCCTCGTTTACATGCAGATAGGCTAGCAAGAAACCACTTGCGGCTGCTAGTATCAGAAAATGTTTAGAACTCGGGACTGAAAGCTGGCAAAGATCAGGCAAGCTTTTGATTTGGGCCCGGGCTTTGGGTCACGGAGCTTAAATCCCTCTCCACTGGAGAATTGGTGTCTAACATCCCACCAAGCTTCTAGGAAGCTAGCGTCGTCATACAAAACCTTGACTCAAAAATCCAGGCCCTTGGTTCCTGAAGCCTTAGGCCAAGTTACTGTCCCAAACAAGCCGCGGCTCTCTAAAGCGCCAGGAGGCGACGACGAGCAGGGCCGGCAGCAGAAAGCGCAGGAGGGTCGTCGTACTGTAACAAGATTCTGCTCACACAGAACGCATGCACTCGACCTCCAAAAGTTGACTCGCTGCTTGCTGAGTTCAAGAATATGCTACTTCCAGTACACATGCTGCTGAAGATCATTCTGAAAGGTGGCGCAGCGCTGCGCCTTCGAACGCGAGCGAAGCAGCTACTGCTTCCAAAGACAAAGTCCTACAGGCACCAGCTGGGTCGACGAGTCCAGGTCTTGGGGAGCCTGCGCCCCGCCTCAGTAGCGTTTTAGATCAGGACTTCTAGAAAAGACTACGATGTCCACAGTTGGATCTGGACTCAGAGGCCTCTTCTTCCGCCTGGCCCTGCCACGGTCCCCGGCAGAGCTTTTGCAGCTCGGTGCTGGATGGCTAACGCGAGCGCTTCGCCGGGCTCGAACACTCCCAGAGGCGGCTAGGGGCCTTGATGGGCTTTGTACTACTAGAGGTTATGTTCTACAGGCTCTGCCTGAAGAGCAGGAACTGGAGCTTTTTGAAGTGGTTCTGAGAAGCAGCTTCTCGTTCGGCCTGCATTGAGCAGGCTCAGGAGCGAAAGGTTCAGCCTGCTGGCGCCTGCGTAGTTTCAGAGTGTTTGTCTGCACCGTGAAGAACGGATATTTCGTTGGCTGCCTCATACAGACGGCCTTATTCTTGGTTAAGCATGTTTGATTGAAGATGCGTTCCCTTCTCCCTGTTGCTAGGATGGCTCGGTCTCCGAGATCCTAGCCATGCGGCCGTTGGCAAGACAAGGCTCTTCCTCAGAGATTACTTTTCTTTGCAGCTGCATGCCCAACGTTGCGGACCAGTCCGCGAAGCATCAGTAGTGCCCCAAGGTACTAGCTAACGGTCCTCTTTGAAACAGCCTGGCTCTGCAAAGGTGCTTCTCAGTTGATGGAGGTGGCCTTCTCAACTCCTCGCGAATCGCTTGTCTTCGTGGTGCATTTTTTTCAGGCTGCTGAAGTGGGGAAGTCCAGTCACAAATACATCTGTAATCTCAGATCCCCTCTGCTCTGCCATCCCAATACTATTTGATACAGAGCACACTGGGGGCAGAAAAGCAGAACCCATGCAAGTTCCGACGTGAACTACTGACGGTACTTTCAAGGGCCATGCCACACCAGCATGCAAGCATTGGATGCTCAACTCCCCACACCTCCTGATTGCCTTGGTCAGGATGAGTCGAACCAGCCCAGGAGGCTTAGAGGACCCCTGCCATTGGCTCCGCAAGTTTTGAAAGTTTCTTGACGACCTAACGAGCTCCAGCACGTGACGCTGGTTCGGTTGGGGTCCTCGAAGTGCCAGCAGTTCTGTGAGCCAGAGAGTTGTTTCGGAAGCTTGCAGCAAACAAGCTTCTCAAAGAGGGTATTGGACAGGCGCTCGCAACATCACCCTCGAGAACATTTCATACAGCACTGATTCTCCATATGCTGTTACCAAGTTGCATCGGGTCTCATCCTGCCGATGCTGCGAGGAATTCTCCGATCCAGAACTTGTGCCGGGGTCTCGGCCATGTCAGGGCCAGAACGCATTACTGTGGCTTACTGTATAGCATGTGGCGGAATTGCCCTGATAGCTTCACGGCAGGTCTGCGCATGCTAGGCACTGGGGTCACGCAGGTCATGCTTCCAC